ATTTCTGGGTCTGTTTCTGCTTTTTGTTTGTTCATTTGTTCTGCTTTCTAGATTCTACATATAAGTGAAATCATATAGTATTTGTCTTTCTCTGACTATTTCACTTAGCATAATATCCTCTAGGTACATCTACATTGTTGCAAATGGCAAGATCATATTCTTTTTTATGGCTGAGTAACATTCCTCTGTGTGTATATGTGTGTGTGTGTGTTTGTAAGAGATACATCTGTTGATGGACACTTGGGTTGTTTCCATATATTGGCTGTTGTAAATAATGCTGCAGTAAACATGGGGGTGCATATATCTTTTCAAATTAGTGTTTTCATTTTCTTTGGGAAAGTAAGTAACCAGTAATGGAATTACTGGATCATACGGTATTTCTATTTTTAATATTTCAAGGAAACTCCATACTGTTTTTCACACCATTTTCTATCCCCATCACCAGTGCACAAGGGTTCCTTTTTCTCTACATCCTCAACATTTGTTTTTTGTGTTTTTGATTCTAGCCATTCTGACAGGTGTAAGGCGATAATTCATTGTGGTTAACTTTTGAACAATTAACTTTGAAACATTTCAGAGAATTCCTTGCCTGTCACTCTTAGTTATGAGAACTAAGACTGGGTCTTTACTAGGGATTTCACATCTTCGGAGAGGTGGAGGCAAGATAGATAACGAAAACCTTTTTAAAAACAGAGACCAAATTTTGAAAGACCTGTACTCTAACAACTATAAAACATTGATGACAGAAATTGTGTTAAGACAGAAGAAGTGGAAAGACGTTGCATGCTCATGGATGGGAAAAACGCATATTGTTAAAATGTCTATACTGCCCAAGGCAATCTACAGATTTAATGCAATGCCTATTAAAATACCAACATTTTTCATAGAACTAGAAAAAACAATCCTAAAATTTGTATGGAACCACTGAAGACCTCGAATAGCCAAAGCAATATTGAAAAACAAATTGGAAGTATCACAATTCCAGTTTTCAAGTTATATTACAAAGCTGTAGTCATCAAAACAGTATGGTACTGGCAAAAAAACAAATATAGATCAGTGGAATAGAACAGAAAACCCCAGAAATAAATCCATAACTATATGGTCAATTAATCTTTGACAAAGCAGGAAAGAATATCCAATGGAGAAAAAGCAGTCTTTTCAACAAATGGTGTTGGGAGAACTGGACAGCTACATGCAAAAGAATGAAACTGGACCACTTTCTTTAAAAACAAACTAAAAAATGGGTTTAAGATCTAAATGTGACACCTGAAATCATAAAAATACTTGAAGAGAGCACAAGCAGTAATCTCTCTGATATTGGCTGTAGCAGTGGTTTGTTGTTTTTTTGTTTGTTTGTTTGTTTTTTCTCTAATTATGTCTCCTGAGGCAAGAGCAATAAAAGCAAAAATAAACTATTGGGACTACATCAAAATCAAAAGCTTTTGCACAGTGAAGGAATCAGTCCACAAAATGAAAAGGCAACCTATGAATAGGAGAAGATCTTTGCAAATGACATATCTGATAAAGGGTTAGTATACAAATATAAAGAACTGATAGAACTCAACACCCAAAACACAACCCAGTTGAAAAATGATCAGAAGACATGAACAGACATTTTTCCAAAGAAAACATACAGATGGTCAACAGGCACATAAGAGGATGCTCAACATCACTCATCATCAGGGAAATGCAAATCAAAACTACAATGAGACACCACTGCATACCTGTCAGAATGACTAAAATCAAAAACACAAGAAACAAGTGTTGGCGAGGATGTGGAGGAAAAGGAACCCTCTTGGATTGTTGGTGGGAATGCAAACTGGTGCAGCCACTGTGGGAAACAGTATGGAGTTTCCTCAAAAAGTTAAAAATAGAACTACCCCGTAATTGAGTAGTTGCACTAGTGGGTATTTACCAAAAAATACGGAAACACCAATTCAAAGGGATACATGCACCCCTGTGTTTACTGCAGCATTATTTACAAGAGTCAGCCCAAGTGTCCATTGATAGATGAATGGGTAAAGAAGTGATATACATACACAATGGAATATTATTCAGGCATAGAAAAGAATGAAATCTTGCCATTTGCAACGAAATGGGTGGAACTAGAGAGTATTATGCTAAGTGAAGTCAGTCAGAGAAAGACAAATACCATATGATTTTGCTCATATGTAGAATTTAAGAAACAGTAAAAATGAGCAAAGGGAAAAAAAAAAGACAAACCAAGAAACAGACTCTTAACGATAGAGAACAAATTGATGGTTACCAGAGGGGAGATGGGTGGGGGAATGGGTGAAATAGGAGACCGAGATTAAGGAATGCACTTGTCATGATGAGCACTGGGTGATGTATGGAATTGCCCTATCATTATATTGTATACATGAAACTAATATAGCACTTGTATGTTAAAGATATAGGATTTAAAATAAAAACTTAACAAAAACAGAGGCCAAATTTTAAGTATATCAAGAAACTTCATTCAGTAAATAGCTGACCTTTCATTCGATTTTTCTTTTTAATGAACTTGTTTTTGTTGTATGTTTTTGCTCTAAATTATTTCCATTAAACCTGGTACTGATGATTCATGGCCTACATCAGATGATGAAGACTTTAATTTTGATATCAAGGTAAAGTACTCTTGTGAAATTTGTTTTCCTGCTCTGAATTTAGTTTGTATATTATTTACTCTTAAAATTTAGCAGTGGCCTACCTATCATCATTTTATGTTTGTAATGGAAAGTTGGTCAGAACAAACCATTTTGTAGAAATATGACGAGTTGAATTTTTTTTTTTTTTTTTTACTCTGGTAAATACTGAAGGTGGAGGCTGAAAAAAATGGACTGGAGAATACATAATGACAGGAAAATTATATTGGGAAAAGCTTTTCCATAATGGAGGAAATAAGATATTTGGTCAAGGATAAGGATTTTTACTGTGAGTTTTAAATTATCTTAACATGACTTTTCTTTCTTTCTTTCTCAATATGACGTTTATAATACTCATGCCTAAATGAAATCTTTAGTGGATTCAATTATTGCGGACATTTTTTCCCTTGGTAACATATACTTTTACAAAAGACTTTTTTCTCTATTTCTATCCTTTGTTGTACATTTAGACTAAAATAATATTAGAAATTGTGGAAATTCAGAAATTTAAATTGTTTCTCAAAATTTATATTGCAAAGGTATTCCACTGTGTTTTCAAAATAATTCCATTAGGAGTTTAGTTAAAACTTTATCTAAGTGAAGAATACATGTTTTGCCTAAAATAATAATCAGCTCTAGAAGTAGAGGCTCTTCGTACCCATATAGTAAAATGTCCAATTTCAGAAATCTTTTATATTATAGTTTTTAAAAATATCTACTCAATCTTTGTATCAGATTCTAAAATTTAAAATTTCATTCTTATTTAAATATTCATTTTAAAGCCCCTGTATCATTATAAGCTACTGGATGTTAGGAAATGTAATTGTGCATCTCCTGGAACACCTAGAATAAAGTCTTGCTTGGAAGAAGCAATTTAGTATTTTTTGAATGTGAATAAATGAGCAGACAGATGGAATTCTGTATAATGGAATGTTATAAGTAATGTGCATAATTAAATATATGAATTTTTAAAAATATGGCTCAAATTTATATTCCTTTTTTTTTTAAGGATTTATTTATTTGAGAGAGAGAGAATGAGAGAGAGAGAGCACATGAGAGGGGGGAGGGTCAGAGGGAGAAGCAGACCCCCCTGCAGAGCAGAGAGCCTGATGCGGGACTCGATCCCGTGACTCCAGGATCATGACCTGAGCCAAAGGCAGTCGCTTAACCAACTGAGCCACCCAGGTGCCCTATATTCCCTTTTTATGTTTAAGATTTATAAGTGTAAATGAACTATGTTGAGGAAATAAATAAGAAAAAAGGTTACAGTTTATTTTTTAGTATCCTCTAATTGTGAGCTCAGAATTTTCTTTTTTCTTTTTTTTTTAAAGATTTAATTAATTTATTTATTTGAGAGAGAGAGAGAGAAACAGCATGAGAGGGGAGAGAGTCAGAGTGAGAAGCAGGCTCCCCGCAGAGCCAGGAGCACGATGTGGGACTCGATCCCAGGACTCTGGGATCATGACCCGAGCCAAAGGCAGATGCTTAACCGACTGAGCCACCGAGGCGCCCCATGAGCTCAGAATTTTAGCTAGAAATTCCTCAACTATTTTCTTTAACCCCATCTGTGTCTCATTAGATATATCCTTTCAAGGTGTACATTTCTCCTTAGAATTCTCATTACCAATCCTTTCTCCAAGTGGAAAGTTGATGTGTTAGAAACATTTCTTTTTCTTTTTTCTCTGTAGTAATAATTTATAGCTTTCAGGTACTCGTAAGGTAAAGGTAAGTGGAAAAAATATTTTTCAGTATATGTAAGTATGATTATGGATATATTATAAACAGAAGTCTCTTAAATTTTTTCAATTACATATTATAAATATATACATTACATATATATTGTAAATATATACATTACATATATATTATAAATATATCTAAAACAGGCTTTCGTTCATAGTATATCCCTAATAACACTGACTTTTCTCACTCTACAATTATTTGTTTATAAATACTGTAGTAAAGAATTTAATTTTTTCACTATAAAGTAAATTGTTGGGGTACAGGTGCTCCTTCAGATCACTATGTTTGTATTCTTTGGATAAATACCTAGTAGTGCAATTGCTGGGTTGTAGGGTAGCTTTACTTTTAACTTTTTGAGGAAGAATTTATATAATAATCAGTTAGGGGTAAGGAAAATAACATTTTGGAACTAGCTATTAAATCTCTCATAATCCTCATCCCAGGAGAAAATATAGGCTTTGTAAATGGCAGAACTGAGATTTGAATCTCCATTTGAATGATTCCAAAACCTGTGTTCTCTGTGTAGTGGTGCTCATTTGATAATGGGGAATATTATAATTATTTTACCAAATGTGATACTTGTACTCCTTAAAACTATTAATTTTTTTCTAGACTGTCCCAAAACCAAACTTAAGAGCGCTAATGAATGCTTCTGAGCAATTCAAGAATGGTAAGCTATTTGAAGACGTGCTATTCACTGATTTTTGTCCATTCTTGTATTATTCAGTAATTTGAAATTACAGATATTTTCATGTTCTTTTTATTTTGTTTTTTACTAAGTGGGAACAAAATGTGGCCTTATAACACTAGGAGGTAGAACTTTATCTGAGCATGATAATTCTGATTATGAAGATGAAAATATAGTTGGACTTCTTTACAAACTACCATTCAAAGCCAATGACTTTTCTTGTCCTGCTTTTTCAAAACCTTCTGTCAAGTCGTTAGCAGGCCATGGTGTTACAAAGGTAAGTTGTTTTGTTTTAAACCTTTTTCCCTATTTTTTTTCACATACCATCCTCTTGATCCTTATAATGAAAAGAATCTTAGGAAAAAACGGAAGTCCTCAAGATCATAAGGGGAAATAATGTAATAACAACAGAGAGGTGGTAAGTACCAGATTGAGATTTATAAAGGTTGGTGGGAGTAAACAATTCTTAGGTATGCCATTATGGAAGGAAAGAATTAGAAAGCAACTGGAAAGAACAGCTAGAGGGATGTGAAGATGAGGGAGGGGGTGGGGGGAAGAATTCATTTAAGAAGGGCAAGATGGATGTAAAGATTGAAGAGTTGAGAGAGGTGATTATAAAATGCAACAGCAGTAGTGAGGCTAAGGGAGAGCAGATACTCTACATTACAAAATATGGTAGAAATTATTTTAAGTGCAAAATAAGAAAACAAAGTCAAGTAATAAAAAAATGCTTAGACTCTTCTGAATGACTTACAGCTGACTTTTATGAAGAACTGGAAGAAAATTTTATCCTTCCATTTAAGTTTAATAAAGTGTGCTATCTTATATTTAATTTAGCAAAACCTGTGTTTATAGATAATGCAAAGTGAAATCTGTTTTAGGCCTTAATCAGATTTATTATGAATTTTCAATTTTTGGCCATTGTCTTTCTTGTGGTTTCTTTCTTTCTTTTTTTTAAGATTTTATATATTTATTTTTGTGAGAGAGAGTGAGAGTGCACGAGCAGGGGGAGGTGCAGAGGGAGAAGCAGACTCCCCACTGAGGAGGGAGCCTGATGTAGGACCCAATCCCAGAACCTTGGGATCATGACCTGAACTGAAGGCAGACACTTAACCAATTAAGCCACCCAGGTGCCCTTTCTTGTGGTTTCTGATTTAACTTCCTGTGTGGTAGAATCTTGGTAGGTTTTAGATCTTTTTGAGACTAAAGAGAGGAAATAAGTAAACATTTAGTCTTTTCATTAATTAAAACTGAAATTTCTGATTATGTAAGTGAGGTTCTTAATCTTTATCCAATAAATGAAATAAATTTTAAGCCGTAACACTCTTAAAGAAAAAATAGAAAATTTTGTTTCTGGATTGTGATTTATAATTTATTTTTAATTGTATCTGCATTTAATAGATACACAGACACACATCAAATGAATGAACTCACAATTTATAGTTTTTTTTCTAGTATGAACTGTTTGTCATTGTAGAATCATAAGGAAGGAAAGGTTGCCAACAGAGTATACAGAATTATTTCTGGAAGATGATTTTTACTTTTTCAAATATCTCCAATAGTAGATACATTTTATATTATTCTCAGGAAACTTTAGTATTCATCGTTGTTAATTTTTGTTTTAGATTTAAAAAATTTTAGTAATCTCTATACCCGACATGGGGTTTGAACTCACAACGCTGAGATCGAGAGTCACACACTCTTTCGACTGAGCCAGCCAGGCGCCCCCATAGTTGTTAAATTTAATATGTGAATTCTTTCATATCTGAAATTCAGAAATACTGGTGATTTGATTTTTTTTTTTTTGTCCCTTTTTTCTTTCCTCCTGTGAATATTGGGTCCTGCTTGATGATCATACATGTATTTGGAGACTTTAAAACCTTCAACTTGGATGATCATGATTATTAATTTTTTAATACTAGATTCTTTCCCCAGTCTTTAACTACCATCCTATATTCATTGATACGAAATTAGAGCTATTAGTATGCTGTTCACAGTGGAATAAGAAAATCATGTGAATTTTAAAATAGGGTTTTATATTTTTCTCATACATCATAGTAGTACTATGATTTTAAGATGCCTCAAAATTCTATAATCCCATAAGTATTTCTCTTCTACATTTTAAATCTTTTAAAATTCATTTTTAGAAAAGTATTCTTAAACAAAATCTTGAATTGGTGTTTTGCAATTAAATCTTTTTATTAATCTTAAAATGCTATTCATTACAGAAATTAATACTTGACTATATATATATATTTTTTCTAAATATTTATTTCAGAGAGAGATAGAGAGAGAGAGTCTGGGGGAGGGTCAGAGGGAGAGGAAAAGAGAGGGAGAGAAGCAGACTCCCCACTGAGCATGGAGCCTGATTTGGGACTCAATCTGACAAATCTGAGATCATGACCTGAGCCAAAATCAAGAGTCAGATGCTTAACCAGCTGATCCACCCAGGTGCCCACTAACTTGCCTTTATTAATAAAAGTCTATCTTCTATCCTTGAAACTAATGTTGAAGTATATAAATGAAATTTTGAATCCCATGGTTTCCCCCCCCGCTTTTATTTTTATTCTGAAAATTTCAGAGTTCTGTGTAGGTTTACATTATTTAATTATATCAGGTTAGTATATTTTATAGATATTTATGTTTTATTAACATCATGGCTTTTCCTGTCATTTTTTCCTACTCCAAATATATTTGTGTACAACTTTCTCCTTAAGTCTCCTGGGTGCTTCCAATTTGGTATGTCCCAGATTGAAGACATTGTTTCTGACCCATTCCTCTACCCTGAGTTTTTGTAATCTGCTTTGTCATTTGTTCTCCCCATCCTAGTATATTGTGCCACTGAAACACTGAAGCAGGAAAAATCCTGGACTGCAAACTTCCCTGAAATTACTACATCCAGGGGCACCTGGGTGGCTCACTTGGTTAAGCATCCGACTCTTGATTTTGGCTCAGGTCATGATCTCAGGGTCCTGGTATCAAGCCCTGTTACAGGCTCCATACTGAGTAGGGTGTCTGCTTGAGGATTCTCTCTCTTCCTCTCCCTCTGCCCCTTCCCCTGCACGCACACACACTCTCTGTCTCAAAATAAGTAAATCTTTAAAAAAAAAAAAAAATCACCACGTCTCTACCTCTGAAACCAGTAATACATTATATGTTAATTAATTGAGTTTAAATTAGAAAAAGGGACGCCTGGGAGGCTCAGTCAGTTAAGGGGCTGCCTTCAGCTCAGGTCATGATCCGGGGGTCCTGGGATTGAGTCCCAAGTTGGGCTCCTTGCTCAGCGGGAAGCCTGCTTCTCTCTCTGCCTGCCACTCCTCCTGCTTGTGCTTTCTCTGTCTCTGACAAATAAATAAAAAATCTTAAAAATAAAAAAAGTAAAAAACAAAAAAATCACCACATTCACTATTTTGTCCCTGCTTACCATTTTTCATATCTTATTATCATAATTCACTCTCTCACGTATAGTTTTGAAATACTCTTCTGGTTTTGGTTCCCTTATGTTCATCTTTACATTGCTGTCAGACCTTTCTACAATATATTTCTGACGATGTAACTCCTCTGCTTATTTAGTGGATCCCCATTACATGAAGGAGAAAGTTCATATTCTAGCATGACACTTGCCTTTTTTGGTTCAGTCCTGATTTTCCAATTATCTCTCTCTGTCCCATTCCCAAAAGTTGTGTTCCAGTTTTGCCACATTCTGGAGCTGTCGTCACTTACTGCGTTATTTCATACTTCATCCTTTCGCTCATTCTACCTTTTCTAGAGTGTCCTTTGCACCCTCCTTGTGCACCTTGTCTGTCTTTCAATATACAGCCCTATCTGCAGCATTTCCTGAGCTTCCCATATGCAACTCTTTTCTCCTTTGTGCCTTCACTGTGCTTTATTCACTTCACCTGCAGAACTAGTAAATGATACTCTTCTGTTGTTAATTGTTTTCGTCCATCTCTACCCCTACTAGCATATAGGGCAGTCTCTGTTGTTTATATTTCCAGCTTCTCCCACGATAGTGCCTATGACTTGACAGGTACGGTGTGTATTTGTCTTTCTGAGTGAGTGAGTGAGTGAACAAGTGAATTAATGTGATGTTTTCTGAAGTTGGGTTTTTGTTTTGTGTTGTTTTTATAGGAAGGAGAGGTGCAGCCGGCAACTGGAAAAAAGGACAATGGTATTAATATTACTGAAATTGCTCCACAAGAGCAAACAGTTAATGACCATCTGACTTCTGCTGATAGAGCATACAAAAAAGTAATAGTAGTGGTAAGTTAGTAAACATCTGTGAATTTTTTCTATGCTCAAATGCTAGTATAAAGAAATCTGAAAGTATGTAGATCCAGATATGTTATGCATTTCATTAAGATATTTTTCTTTTGCTGTCTTTTTAAGTATCCCGACTACTACCAACTTTTTCTTCCTGAAAATAATTCGACCCTCTGAAAATCTTTACTGCTATTACTTTTATTTTATTGAAATATTCATGAGTAGGGATAAGCTTGTACATATGTTTAAAATTCATAATAATACATGTTCTCATTAATGTATCTGTGACTGTATTTTATAGTTACGATGTCAGCGTTGGGATTAGGAGAAGAGGAAGATGGAGAATCACCTTGGAATTCTGAGGTACTGTTTTCTTATTATTTTAAAATATAAGCATTGAATGATGTTAAAGCATAAAAGGGATGCTCAGACTTTACTCTGTCATCTCTGCATTTGCCCATAAAAACTATTTCCTTATAATTTTTACCTGTAATTGATAAAATAATTATGTGCTAAATATAATAATGCAGCATAATACAGTTCTGCTAATTTGCAAGCTTAACTTAATGAAAGCTGTGTAGTATTATTGCAGAAAACTGAGGCTTAGGAGTGATAAGGAATTAGTTTGCGTTTTGAATTTAAGTTATCTAAAAAACTAAAGAATTACTCCAGGCCAACCTATGGCCAGATGTGATTCTATGGTGTATATGGATGTGCAAAATTCCTGATGAGATCTAGAAAGTTTGGATTATAGTTTTTTACGACTTGGAACTTGAAAAGCTAATGCCTAAGACTTGAAAGTATTTTACATATATATGTGTGTGTGTGTGTGTGTGTGTGTGTATATATATATATATATATATTTTTTTTTTTTAAGATTTTATTCATTTATTTGAGAGAGAGAGTGAGTGAGCAGGAGGGAGAGGGAGAGAGAATCTGAAGCAGACTCCCTCTGGGCGCAGAGCCCTACTGATACCAAGAGTTGGGACACTCAACTGACTGAGCCATCCAGGGGCCCTGAAAGTATTATATTTGGATTGTCAAGTAGATTTACAAGGAGCATGCAATTTCCATGCAATTGCCATGCTAAGACTGGAAATAGACACAATAAACAATAAGAACCAGGAAATGGAAAGTAAATATTGTGAAGACATTGAAATTATAAAAGAAAAGAATGTCAGTCTTCTAAAGACCATAAAACTGAATGAGGAAACATTAACAAAAACAATATTAGAATATTAGAATATAGTGGACAGATTAATGCCCTGACCACTGAGAATACAATGCTAAAGTCTAAACTGGAGAATGAAAAGCAAAACAAAGAAAGACTGGACACACAAGTTGGATCATATCGAGCTAGACTAGCTACTGCTCTAGAGGATTATGATCAAAGTCAGGCGTCAAAAAGAGACCTAGAACTTGCTTTCCAGAGAGCAAAAGATGAATGGTTTCGTCTGCAGGACAAACTGAATTTTGATGTGTCTAACCTAAAAGAAAACAATGAGCTTCTTTCTCAAAACCTTTCTAAAGCTGAAAGTAAATTCAATAGTTTAGAAATTGAGCTCCATCACACAAGAGATGCTCTCAGGGAAAAGACTTTGGTTTTAGAATGTGTACAAAGAGACCTAAGTCAAACACAGTGTCAGAAAAAGGAAATGGAACACATGTATCAAAATGAACAAGATCAAGTGAATAAATACATTGGAAAGCAGGAATCCTTAGTGGAGAGATTATCTCAACTACAAAGTGAAAATATGCTGCTTCATCAGCAACTAGATGATGCTCACAACAAAGCTGCCAGTAAAAAAAATGTAGTAATTAATATCCAGGACCAGTTTCAGGATATCGTAAAAAAACTTCAAGCTGAAAGTGAAAAACACGGTCTTTTGCTGGAAGCAAGCAATAGAGAGCTAATCAATGAATGTAATCTTTTAAAAGAAAGAATGTATCAGTATGAAAAGGAGAAAGTAGAGAAGTAAGTATCCAGAAAGATAAATATTTTTCAAGCTTTCTAAGAGAAAATTCAAAGTAATATTTGATTATTATTATTATTTTTAGAGAGAAAGAGTGCACCTGCACATGAATGGGAGTGGGGCAGAGGGAGAGGGAGAGAGAATCCCAAGAGGTCTCCACATCAGAGAACTCCACCTCATGCCCCCGAGATCGTGACCTGAATGATTATGGCTGAATTTTGAATCTACTTGAATATAAAAAATATATAGACTATAATTCAGCATAACTTATATCCAGCAAATAAAAATTGGACTTGAGAGGGGCTTTAATTTGAATAAAATTGTTGTGTCATCTATGAAAGTTTAAGAGGTTAAGTTATAAATTGTTAATAGAAGGCTGATACTAATAATTTAGTCTTATACTGCTAAAATAATAATTTTAATCTTTGTTACCACATTTTAATACCATGATGAACAGATAAATGGAAATGTTCATACCTGCAATGAGCATGTTGAAACTGAGATTCAATTAAGTGGATTCACTTGACGGTTTACTCCAGATTTCCCACATGAACTGAAGTGTAGATGCTGTATCTCAGTACTTTTCGTCTGGTAGCTTTTTACACATTTTAGGTTGAAATAATTTTATTTTTATTTATATAAATTTGAATTTTTAGTCTGAAATCGTGTATCTTATGACCTTTTAACTCTTTGCAGGCACTTTTCATTAAATCGTAATTTGGGACAACTGTGGAGAGCTTTAGCAAAACTGTTTGATTTAATCTTCCCACTGCTATTTATAATTTTTTAAGGCAATTTTACAAATAATTTGCTTATTTCAAAGCTCAATGACTATCATTTGGGCATAAGTTTGTCCAATACAAAGAGAATTCTATCTGTAATATATTAATTTGGCATCGGATCTCCATTTTCAGACTAATGGGGGGTGGCAGGATTCTTGTATTGTAGCAGGAATGGAGGCCAGGGAGGGAGGTGAAAGCCAGGTTATCTAGGGCCTTGAAGCCCATTAGCATGACTTCACTTTTGTTCTGAGATAGTAATCTATTGGAAGGATTTGAGCAGAGGATTGAATATGTGAGGAACTTTGACATTAATTTAAGCCTCTAATAAAAAAGAGGGAAACCATGTCATCATGTAGAATTTACCACTGCTAGCCCCACCTATATACCCATTTCTTTTTGAGACTTCAGTAGGGTGGGCAGCTTTGCAGATTCATCAACAAGGAATGGAGAGTGGGGCTGAATTAATTATCTAAGTAACATAACACTGACTAGGCAGGAGGATAACACCTGTATGTGGTGATATTTTTCGAAGTACATATGTTAGAGTTATATATTATTAATATAACTTAATAGTAAGATAATTTATAAAATCAGTAGCAGAAACGTCTTATTAGGTAGCTGTGAGACACCTTCAACTAGAACTGGCTGATGCCCTAAAAAAACAGTCTATGTCAGAGGCTTCGCTGGAGGTTACATCACATTGCCGTATTAATTTAGAAGATGAGACACAGGATTTGAGGAAGAAATTAGGTCAAATCAGAAGTCAGGTATGTATTAAAGGTAGCATGTCAACAGTTAATCTGTAGCAGGTTAATACAAAGTGTTTTAGGATGCTAATTTCTATGAACCATTTTCTTTTGTATTTTCATTATAATTTAGTGTAATTTTAGTATCTTCACAATGCACTTATTTCTTAAACTTTGACTTTCATTCTGCTATTTGTGTTATACTTTTTTTTTTTCTTACAGTATTTACCCTTAGGAAAGTTGAAACTTATTCATCATTCCTCACAGAAATTGAGGGAGTTTTTTTTCCTACTGTACAATTTTTTTAAAGATTTATGTAGTATTTGAGAGAGAGGGAGAGCGCGTGCGCATGCACACACATGAGTTGGGGGAGAGGCAGAGGGAGAGGGAGAGAATCTCAAGCAGACTCCCTGCCCAGTACAGAGCCCTGCGCCAGCTCGATTCCATGATCCTGAGCTGAAATCATGAGTTGGATGTTTAACCAACTGAGCCAACCAAGTGCAATGTTTTTTAATGATATCTCTGTTACCATGATGAGGTGAGCCATACAAAATCAGAAGATAATCTTTAATGGAATGTTTCAGACAATGGTCTTATTTCTCATGTTCACTTTTATGAACGGATATAGAATCTGTACTGAATTTAGGATAACTTGTACAGAAAAGTCATTTTACAAACCAGTTGAACTTAGGCGTTTCCTTCATTTTCTTTTCCTTTTAGATATATTGTAAATGCATAGAAATATTCAGATCATGTGTAGTATATACGCCCAAAAGAGAGAATTAAGAAATTAAGAATGGGTCCTGCCATTGTTTTTTTTTTTTTTTTTTTTAAGATTTTATTTGACAGAGAGAGACAGACACAGCGAGAGATGGAACACAAGCAGGGGGGGTGAGCGAGGGAGAAGCAGGCTTCCCGCCAAGCAAGGAGCCTGATGTGGGGCTTGATCCCAGGATCCTGGGACCATGACCTGAGCCGAAGGCAGCCGCTTAATGACTGAGCCACCCAGGCGCCCCCATTGGATTTTTTAAAAACTTTATTGAGATATAATGCACATACCATACAATTCACCCAGTTAACATGTATAGTTCAGTGTTTCTGATCATATTCATAGGGTTGTGCAACTATCACTGCCATCAAGTAGAACATTTTCATCACCCTGAAAAGAAACCCTTAGCCCTTGAGCCCCCAGCCTCAGGCAACCAGCAGTCTACTTCCAGCCTCTATAGAGTTGCCTATTCTGAATATTTCATATAAAGGGGGTCACACAATGTGTGGTCCTTTGTGACTAGCTTCTTTCACTTAATGTTTTCAGGGTTCATCTGTGTTATAGCATATATCAGTGCTTCATTTTTTTTTTTAATTGTCCAACAGTACTCCATTGTGGGCTAAAACCCTTGTTCATTCATCATTTGATGCACCTTTGGGTTGTTTCCCACTTTATGGCCATTAATAATGCTGCTCTGAACATTGATTTAATTGTTGTCTGGACATCTGTTTTTATTTCCCTGCCATCAGATTTTATCCTCTGAGTTAATTGGGTTGATTTCACCATCTCTCAGCCTTTTACTCATGCTGTCCTTTCTGTCCTTTTAGTTTCCCTTCCTCTTGCATAATCTTACACTATTCAGACCTGGCTCATAGTCTCTCATTCTCCATGAAGCTCTCTCTGACTATTCTAATTCCCACTGACTTTAATCTCTTCACATGTGTCTCATCTAGTCTATGCAGAACAATTTAGTCCTTTATTTTACATTGGTTTTATTTTTTTCATGAGAGAGAATTTTGTCTACGTACACATTTATCTAAGGGGGAAAATACGGGATATGCATGGTACCTATCCTTTTATAAATTGAGAATATTTTAACTTAACAGTGTTTAGGATAAAATTAAGTATTCATACCATATCAATAATTTCTGATTGAAAGCATTGACATAACAAAGCTTTTATTCTAAATGTATTTTAAGCAATTAAATGTAAAATTGAAAGCATTTAATCTGACAGAGGAGAAGTGTTCAATCAAATGCTTGTTTCTCCCCCCTCACTGTGGAAGAGCCGTCTAAATTTGCCTTTCTTCATTTTGCAGCCAGTACTGAGATTACTTTACCAACTATAAAGCTCCGGGCACAGCTTTTCTTTCTTTCTTTCTTTTTTTTTAACCTTTCTTTTTTAAAGTTTGTTTGTTTGTGTATTTATTTATTTATGTAATTTCTACACCCATCGTGGGGCTTGAACTCATGAGCCCAAAGTCAAGAGTCACGTTCTTCCCACTGAGCCAGCCAGGCGCCCCCGGGGACAGTTTTTTCTCATATGCCATATCACATAGCCTTAATGTATTCATCAGAGTACTTGCTAAAGCAGTGTAACACAGACGGTTGCTAAGATAATATAAACATGAGATGATTTGGGAATGTTGATTTAGCAAGAGTCCATTATTTCCACGTCAGTGGCTTTACCTTGCCTCTGATGGTCATGTAAATATTTATTACTCAGTCTAGGCGGTACTATTTGCACTGTAGTCCATGAGATTGTCCACTGAGTAGTATAGAGAGGCAGTAAGTTAAAATTATTATAAGTGGGAAAAAGTACTGTTAGCTAGTGGAATTGGTAAAAGTTTTTTGAAGTATGGAGGATGTATTCTGGGCCTCATGCTCCCCATTTGCTGCCACTTTCAGTGGTATGAAGAACGATTTCAGTGTAACTTGTATAAGAGACCACTTTCATTGGCCTACCATCTGCCTAAAATATGAAATATTATTAGAACATAACCTACAGCAACAATAATAATGCTAATTGCAGACAGAATTTGGTGTGTGCCACATGCCCTTCTAAATAGTTCATGTATAGGGGCACCTGGGTGGCTCAGTTGTGAAGTGTCTGCCTTTGGCTCAGGTCATGATCCCAGGGTCCTGGGATCACGTGCTGCATTGGGCTCTCTGCTCCGCAGGAAGCCTGCTTCTCCCTCTCCCACTCCCCCTGCTTGTGTTCCGTGTCTCGCTGTCTCTCTCTCTCTGTGAAATAAATACAATCTTTAAAAAATAAAAATAAAAAAAATAGTTCATGTAAATTTCCTAAATTAATCTTCCCAACATGCCAGTGTGGTAGATACTTTTATTATCTTCATTTTACAGAGAAGAAGCTGAGACACAGAAATTTTAAGTAATTTTTTCCAGGGCACACAGCTAATACCTAGTGAGTTGGGATTCAGACCCCAGGCATTCTGGTTCCTACGAAGATAATGCCTCTCATACTATTCCATGAAATATCTAGTTGTCACTGAAAGCAACATGTTAACTTTTATAATCACTGGAACAGCCATGGTCATCACATATGTGAATATTTAAAAGTATAATTGATGTGGTACTTCGAATACAAAAATAGAAATCTTTACCATAAGGTAATTTCCTATCTTTCCCCCTTTGACCAATATATAAATTCGTAGATTTAGCTGATAAAATATAATTTAAAAACATTAAAAATGTGACATTTTAGTAACTAGAGAAGTCAGCAAACTTTTCTGTAAGGGGATTGTAAATATTTTACTTTAAGATTTTATTTATTTGAGAGAGAGAAGGAGCAGTGGGGAAGGGCAAAGGGAGAGATAGAGAGAAGCAGACTCCCTGTAAATATTTTAGGCTTCGTAGGCCATAGGTCTCTGTTGCAGCAGTTCAAATCTGCTGTAGCCATAAAGCAGTATGTAGAGGAGAGTGTGGCTGTGTCCACTAAAATTTTATTTACAAAAACAGCTGATGGTGGTTTTATACTAGATTGCCAGTAGTTCAAAGTATTTCTTTTTTTTCTTTTTTAGTTGCAAGAAGCACAAGATCGACATGCAGAGGCTGTAAGATGTATTGAGACGTGGAAAGATCACATGCAAAAGTACAATTTAAAGCAGCACAGAAAATAACTTGAGTATTTATAAAGCAGAGAAGCAGTGTAGAATGAGAAATATATCAGTTATGATAATTACATCATTGTTAAGCTGGATAAAAATTTCAGCTTTGCGCTATTTGGAAATGCATAAATTTTGCATATTATCTTTAAGTTTTGCACATTAACTATAAAACACAACCAGAAAAATGGCACAATTGCCAAATCTTCTACTTTTAAAATTTTTAAGAATTTATGTAAGACAGTCAGATGTTTGTTTAGAAATTATACGGTACTTTTAAAATTTATGTGTGAGATAAATTTTAAAATACTCATTTTAGGCTTGAAGTTGAAAATGCCAAGTTAAAAGGTACAGTCAAAAAACAAGCGCGCAAAATTGAACAACTTCAGGAAAACCTGTTAAGTACAAGTTTGGTAAGTCAGTCTCTTAATTTCTGTCCTACTGAAAAGGAATTTTTATTTCTCTAGTAGTAGTATATAAGACCATTTTGGATAATATGAAAATTCTCACTAATAAAAATGTTTATTGTATTCATATTGTTGCTACTTGCTACTGGTAGTATAATTCCTCTTTATAGATGAAGTTGACTGAATTCGTAAAGTAATAATTTTTATAGTAAGATTGTAATAAAAAAGATTGTGGTAGTCTAAGATAAGCAATATTTTATACATGCCACATTTTATTTATCTATCTGGCAGTGGACAATTGAGTTTTCCCACCTTTTGGCTATTGTTAGTAATGCTGCTGTGAATATTGGCATACAAACGTCCGAGTCCCTACTAATATTTTTCAGTATGTTTAAAAATTCTGAAACTTTGAGTCATAATTTGATCTTGAATTCTGACTTTCTCTTGTAATCTAAACCCTTCAGTGAGATTTGAGAATGGATTACTTTCATGATAATTTGTTGTGATTTGTAATTATAAATTTGTAATTTGTTGTCTTCATCCAGAATGACTACTAGGTCATTATGCAAACATTTTTCTCAAAGGAATATATTTTTCTCTTTGTTGGATTTTGAAAAGGAAAAGAGATGCCAGTGAAAAGTGGAAACGACTGCTCAATCAGGGCCTTACATAGTAACATAGTGCTCCTAGCATTCACTGCAAGTTCAGGAACTTTTTTTTTTTTTTTCATTAATTTGAGTTAATCAGCCTTTCAGAGATTTAGCAATCAAATCTCAGAAAAGATTAATGTGCAATCCGGGATTACAACTTATTGATACGTAATGCAAACTATATAACTATTTACCAAGCAGAACTGGATTATCATGCCATTTATACCCTCCTTCATAGGAGAGTTCATTCAGACTTTTTAAATCTCCAAATGTCTATGTAGCTTTTATTATTTCTGGCTATAATCTTCCTTTACTTCTGCCATTCCTATGGAACCGTCAACCTGATTATGTGGGCTGTCTCAAATTCTTGTTTCTGCTAGTGGTATAAGACCAAAACAACCAGACTTGTCATAGTAATAGTTAAGCAATTATAGTCCATATAGCTGTCACTTGACAGGTGATATTTAAATCTCCAGTCATTGATCTTGTCATTGGTTTACCTTTTGCCATTGAGTAAAATTCCAAGTTCCTTATATGGAGTAAAAAAACCCAAGTCAATTTGGTTCTTGCCAGATTATTCAGCTACTTACCCTACTCTGTTGCTTTGCTCTAGCACCTCTTCAGCGTAGACTACTTGCAATTCCACAAGTGTTCTTCCTCACTCTTTGTATATGTTCTTTGTATATGTGTCTTGCCTCCACCTAGCACATTTTTTCCTTGTACGTCAGGTATCAACTTATATATCACCTCCACCAAAAAGCAGGCAGTATTGATAGAAAACTAGGATGTCCCTTTTGTGTGTTCTTATAGTGTCTTGTTTTATACCTGTCATGGCATATTCAACTCTAAAATTGCCTGTTTGATTTTTCAGTTTCTAGTATATGATTGCTCAGGGGTGGGCTCTGTCATCATCTTGTAATTTCATCTTGTAATGAGAAAACTAGAAGCTCTGATATTTACCCACAATAGCAATTAACTCGGTGGGCAACCATGAGCAAAATATATTTAAACGTAATCTTGTATTTTATATTGTAGTTCTATGTAGATATTTTTCATTCTTCTTAACACTCATAAGGCTTCAAATTTGTTTTTTACTAACTTGTAATTAACTACAAAGTATTTTAGATAAAGAATGTATAATTCTTTTTCTTTTCAGATGCTGCTGAATTTGAATTAGACTCATGGCATATGACCTCCTCTTTAGAATGTACTTACGAATCACATGTAAATGACGATCTACTAGCGAAATCGTCAAAAGAATTTTTACAGACTTTGAAGAAAAATTATATGTTCTGAAAGATAAACAGTAAAATTTATTTACTGGATGTTTGTATAACATTTTAATTGTCCTACTAAACGTATTGTGTGAAAATCTTGAATAAAGGAAAATACTTCTGGATCATGTGTGTAATGAAAGTTTATATAATATCTTAAGCTATGTTTCTTGGCACCTAATTAACTTTTAAGCAGGTTTTATACGTGGAGACCAGCACTATTGGGTTTTACATGCTTCAAGCTGCCCAAATACCAGCTTTTTAAACAGCACCCAACCAACCAAATTGTCATTAGTACTTCAGGGGTGTTAATTGATAGTTTTTGTATTTTCCAGTTGTTATTACTATATATGGACCTAGAGATTTACACAGACATCATTTTGATATATTGCTGCTAAGGCTATTGTCAATGTTTCTATGTATTACAATTTTTATACTGCCATAAAACCTATGTATAATTTTAATTTTAAGTACTGATTCATAGCCCTTTCCTCATGGTGAAAGAAGATTTGCCTAAGGCTTTTCACTTTTTCTGTTTATTTTTTATTTACTTTTTCAAAACAGTCTTAAAATTAGGGAAAAGAAAACTTAGAGAAAGAAGAAAGAACTTGTTCCCTCAGAACCATTTGCAAGTAAATTGCTAGATTATGCCTGAGTCCCATAGCATTTATATCCTACAAGTCAGTACATTCCACATAACTACTGTACAACCCTGACAATCAGACAACTAGCTCTAATACAATTAACCCTTGAATAATGTCGGGGTTAGGGGCCCTGACCCCTTGCAGTCAGAAACACGTGAATAACTTTTGACCCCCCAACTTTTGACTTCACTAATAATGTGCTGTGGACCAGAAAACTTACTGGTACCAGAATAGTCAATGAAGCTGTGTTTTGTATGTTATATATATTCCATATTATATTCTTCCAATAAAGTAAGCTAGAGAAAAGAAAATGTTATTGAAATCATAAGAGAAATACATTTACAGTACTATCATGTATTTATTGAAAGCATTTGCATATAATTGCCCCCATTCCAACCATGTCAACTATATATTCTATCATTTTTTTTTAAAGATTTATTTATTTGACAGTGAGAGCACAAGAAGGCAGAGCGGCAGGCAGAGGGAGAGGGAGAAGCAGGCTCCCCACTGAGCAGAGAGCCCGACATGGGGCTCGATCCCAGGATGCCGGAATCATGACCTAAGCCAAAGGCAGACACTTAACCAACTGAGCCACCCAGGCACCCTGTACATTCTATCATTTAATCCTCATATTTTTAAGTTTTGTCACTTGTCTGTAATATCCTATACATAAGGAAGGTCCTGTTCAGAGCTATGTATTTAATTCAGATGTTGTGTCTCTTAGTTCTTTCAGTTTAGAATCGTTCCTTAGTCTTTCCTTAATTTTCATGACTTACAATCTTTTAAACAGTTAATTCCAGTAATGTAGAATGTCTTTCAGGGTGGGTTTTTCTTATGTTTCCTTATAAAATTCAGATCAGGGACGCCTGGGTGGCTCAGTTGGTTAAGCAACTGCCTTTGGCTCAGGTCATGATCCTGGTGTCCTGCGATCAAGTCCTGCATCAGGCTCCCTGCTCAGTGGGAAGCCCGCTTCTCCCTCTGCCTGCCACTCCCCCTGCTTGTGTTTTCAATCTCTCTCTGACAAATGAAAAAAAAAAAAAAAACAACTTTAAAAAAATTCAGATCATACATTTTTAGCAAGAGTATGAAGTGGTCCTCTACTCTTCTCATTGCATCCTATCATGAGACCTACAATTTTGATTTGTCCCATTGTTGGTCATGTTAGCATTGATCCTGGAGGTAATATCTGCCAGGTTTCTCCTCTGGAATGTTAACTTTCCACTTTATAATTAATTAGTATTTGGGGGGAAGTAGTTTGAGACATGTAAATATCTCCTTTCTCAGACACCCTGTGCCAGGCCATGTCTTCTGCGGATGATTGACTGCCCCCATAGGCTCTGAAAACCCATGCTGGACTGTTCTTTCCCGTCAGTCTGTGATACCACATTCTATGTTGTTGATGTTTCAGGGGAGTTCCAACACTGTGCAGGGTGGCTCTCCCACTTTTATGCCTTCCCCATTCTATCCAGGCTCCAACACCTCACTCTGGGCCACCTCAGCTCCCTGTTTCTGTTTCTATGCTTTTGAATGGAAAATTTGGGAATAGAAAGAAGAAAGGGGGAAAAGGCTCCATAGGTCTTTTACACTCAACTTGTCAAGCTTTACAAAGCAAAGATTCTGATTAGAATTGCATTGAATCTCTCTATAATTTATAGGGAAAAGACATAATTTTCTTAACAGTATTTTAATTGATTAACTCTCAATGTTCAATGTTTAAAAAATTTCCTATAAAGTTCCTGCAGATATTTTTTAGATTTATTCCCAGGTAGTTAATATTTTTGACCCCATTATAAATATTATTTTTATTTTTATTTATTTTTATTTTTTTAAAAGATTTTATTTATTCATTTGAGACACAGAGATACAGAGAGAGAGAGAGCATGAGCAGTAGGAGAGGCAGGGGGAGGGGGAGAAGCAGACTCCCGGCCGAGCCAGGAGCCCGATGTGGGGCTCGATCCCAGGACCCCGGGATCATGACCTGAGCCGAAGACAGAAGCTTAACCATCTGAGCCACCCAGGCGCCCCTAAATATTATTTTTAAAAATCAATTTCATTTCCTGTTTGTTGCTAGCTTATAGAAATAAAATTATTTTGCATATTGAGCTTAGATTCAACCTATCTTGGTAAACTGTCTTATTTTATTTTTTCTCACAATTCTGGAGGCTAGGAAGTCCAAAATCAAGGCACTGGCAGATTCAGTGTCCAGTGAGGGCCAGCTTCCTGATTAATGGATGCTGGTCTTCCTCCTGTTTCCTCATGAGGCACAGGGCCAGGGGAGCTCTCTCAGGTATCCTTTATTTATAAGGGCACTAATCCCATTCATGAGGGCTCCACCTTCATGACTTAATCACTTCCCAAGGCCCCCACCTCCAGATACTATTACATTGATCATTAAGATTTAATACATGAATTTGGGAGTGGGGGGAACAAATATTCAGTCTATAGCAAGGCTGTTCCTTGTTCTTGGCCGTGTAGGCTTCCCCAGTATGGCTGCTTACTTCATGAGGCCAACAAGGAGAATTTCACTGCAGAGAGGGCTCAGTCCTCTTTTAAGGGCTTCACCTGCTTAAATCAGGCTTACATAGAATAATCCCCTCCTGATTAAATCAAAATTAACAATTATATCTGCAAAATTCTGTTACATTTGCCATTTTCTAATGGCTAGAGTCAAGTCACAGATCTGGGCTACACTTAAGGGAAAAGGATTATAAAAGTTGAGAACACCACAGGGCATTTATTATGAGGTCACCTAGCGTCTTTCTGTTACAATTATATTAACAAAGTTCCCTTATACGACTAGTTTTCTAAGTTTTATCATGAATGTTGAAAGATAATAGATGTTTGTTTTGCATATATTGAGATAATTTTTTAAAAATTTGTCAATGTGGTGAACTACATTATGTGCTCATGTGAAACCAACCTTGCATTTCTTAGGTAAACTGAATTTAGTTGTGATTTCATTCATCTGTTGCATACATTACTACTCTTGTTATGATGATATCTTGGTGAGGATTTTCTCCTCTCTGTTCATGGATAATGATAATGCAAGGAGTTTTGAATACTTTTAACTCAATTTACATGGCTCCAAACTTGTGCATATTGTTGCTTTGTTTTTTAATTCTATCTTGTATCTTTAAAAAATACTCGACACTGTTATAACTTTTACATGATACTGCCAGCGTTCATTTAAATTGAACTACATATTAATTTTTTTTCCCTGTCCTCTTGCATCTCAGAATTTCTATTTGGGATGATTTTTCTTCTCTTTATTTATGTACATTCTTTAAAATTTCCATGAGTGAGAACTGCCAGGTAATGAATCTCTGTTTAAAATGTCTTTATTGGGCGCCTGGGTGGCTCAGTTGATTAAGTGTCTGCCTTTGGCTCAGGTCAGGGTCCCAGGGTCCTGGGATTGAGCCCCACTTCAGGCTCACTGCTCAGCGTGGAGTCCTCTTCTCCCTCTCTCTCTGCCCCTCCGCCCACTTGTTTTCCCTCTCTCACTCCTTCTCTCTCACTCTCTTTCAAATAAATAAAATCTTTAAAAAATAAATAAGAGGTCTTTATTTCCTCTTACTCTTGATATACATTTCACAGCATAGAGAATCCTAGGTGAGTAGTTATTTTCTTTGATCATACAGAAAATGTCATTCCACTGCCCTTTGTCTTTCATAATTGCTCTTTAGAAATGATCTGTCCACCTGTTTCTCCTTTGAACATAATCTGTTCCCCACTCTGCTCCTTTCCCCCACAATTTTTGGTTGCTTTAAAGATCTTACTCTTGGGGGGAAAAAGAATTCTTTTTCTTTGTGTGTTTACTGCAGTTATGCTATTATGGGTCTAGATTTGGATGTCTTACTGTTTATCTTAGTAATGTTGCATAATTAGAATTCCATTTACAAGAGCTCCAAAAACCATAATATACCTAGGAATTAACCTAACCAAACAAGAAAAGGATCTATACTCTAGAAACTACAGAACACTTATGAAAGAAATTGAGGAAGACACAAAGAGATGAAAAAACATTCCATACTCATGGATTGGAAGGATAAATATTATTAAAATGTCTATGGTGCCCAGAGGAATTTAAACTTTCAATGCAATCCCTTTCTAAAAACCATTGACATTTTTCACAGAGCTGGAACAAATAATCCTAAAATTGCTATGGAACAAAAAGAACCCTGAATTGGCAGGGGAATGTTCAAAAAGAAAACCAAACCTGGAGTTATCACAATGCCTGACGTCAAGCGATATTGCAAAGCTGTAGTCAAGACAGTATGGTATTGGGACAAAAACAGACACATGGATCAATGGAAGAGATTAAAGACCCCAGAAATGGACTCTCAACTCTACGGCCAACTAATCTTTGACAAAGCAGGAAAGAACATTGAATGGGAAAAAAAAAGACAGTCTCTTCAATAAATGGTGCTGGGAAAACTCGACAACCACATGCAGAAGAATGAAACCACACCATCCTCTTACAC